TTGTAGACAGGAGACCTGGAGTTAAGAACTGGCAGCCACTTCTATCTGCCAGGGCTCGGGACTCAGCCCAAGTTTCAAACCATTTGTAAAACTGCTCTGTCCCCAGCAAATGAGCAGTGAGGTGAGAGGGAGATGAAACCACCATCTCTTGGTTGAAATTCTGGGAGACACTTGTGGACCCCTATTTTTCCCCACAGCTTCCCAGAAATGCGTGTGCTTTCCTCCATGCAGCTGGTGAGCGTCTTCAGCAAAAGCCCTTGCATGGTTGTAGAGCACAGACATTAGGAGCCCAGGATAATATCGGCTCAAATTCCAGCTCCATCACTTCCAAGATATGTGGAGTAAGTCACTAAACCTCCCTGAGTCTCAGCTTTCCTGTCTATAAAACAGGGCAGGGAGGTGGGACTAACGGTAGTCAATATATGTCTGGGGATGGGGAGACAACCCTTATTAACAAGGGTGCCTGAACGATGCACATTTGTATACCTAACCCTTAACTATACCCTTAACTATATTTTTTATAGTAAAAAATATGTTTAAAAAAAAACAGGGCAATAATGAAAAGAGTTGGGGTTATAGATTAAGCAATAGTTAACACAGTATCAGTACCTGGCAAGCACCCAATAAAGCCTGTTTCACACATGAGGAAACTGAGACTTATAGAGGTACAGTCATTTGCCCAAGATCACTTGGCTACGAGGACAAAGAGGTAAAATGAGACTGAAGCATCAAGCGTTTGGTGGATTGGTGGAAACTGAGGCCAGGGAGACAGGTTGCAAAGGGTTTGAGCATCAGAGGGACTGCCATTGCCCCTGGAGCTCAGAGAAGCAAAGCTGAGACTCAAGGTATGGCTGGGAACTCTCTAGGGAGCTTCTCTGACCCCTGGGCAGGAGGCATTTGGGGCCGTTTCTGACCTCAGTGATATCTCATCAACAGGAAAGATTAGCAAGAGCATCTGGAGTCTCACTGTGTCTGTGAGGCTGTGGATGAGCAGTGATCATGACATCACACTCCAGTCTGGGTGACAGAGTGAGATCCCAACTCAAGGAAAAAAAAGCGGGGGAGCACAGGGGTTGGGGTACCGATCCCCTTCGCAGATGAAAATCTGCATGTTAATTTTTGACTTCCCTGAAAAAAACTTAACTACTGCTGACCAGAAACCTTCCCAGTAACATTAACAGTCAATTAACAGGAGTTGTATGTTATATGTATTGTATACATATACCTCACTTACAATAAGTAAGCTAGAGAAAAGAAAGCACATTTACTAAGTGGAAATGGATCATCATAAAGGTCTTAATGTCCATCATCTTCAGGCTGAGTTGGCGAGAAGAAGGAGGAAGTCTCGCTGTCTCAGGTGGCAGAGGTGGGAGAGATGAAGAAGGCAGATGGGGAGGTAGGTACACTAGGTGGAACTTTGAAAAAACCCGTGTATAAGTGGACTCACACAGCTCAAACTCATGTTCAAGGGTCAGCAGTCCACTTTTTTAAAAATTGAAGTCTCGGCTGGGCTCGGTGGTTCAGCCTGTAATCCCGTGCTTTGGGAGGCTGAGGTGAGAGGCTTGCCTGAGCCCGTGGGTTCGAGACCCGCCTGGGCAACTTGGCGAGACCTCATCTCTACAATAAAATCAAAAAATTAGCCAGGCGTGGTAGTGCCTGGAAGGCTGAGGCGGAAGGATCGCCGGAGCCCAGCAGGTCGAGGCTGCGGTGGCCGGGAGCGGCCACTGCACTTGTCTGGGCGACAGAGTGAGACTCCAACTCAAAAAAATAAAAATAAAAATAAAAATTGAAGTCTCACTGTTGCCCAGGCTGTAATGCAGCGGTACACTCACAGCTACCACAGTCTCCACCTGCTGGGCTCAGGTCATCCTTTCACCTCAGTCGTCTAAGTAGCAGGAACTACAGGCATGCGCCACCATGCCAAGCTAATTTTTTATTTATCGTAGAGACAAGGTATCACCAAGTTGCCCAGGTTGGTGCTGAACTGGGATTACCGGTGTAAGCCACCACCCCTGGCCAACTGTCCACGCTTTAAAAAACTTTCTGGGGTGGGCTCAGTGGCTCAGCCTGTAATCCCAGCGCTTTGAGAGGTCGAGGTGAGTGTATTGCCTGAGCCCGTGGGTTTGAGACCCGCTTGGGCAACTTGACGAGACCTCATCTCTACAATAAAAATTAAAAATTAGCCGGGCGTGGTAGCTCATGCCTGTAGTTCCAGCTACTTGGAAGGCTGAAGTGGAAAGATCGCCAGAGCCCAGCAGGTCGAGGCTGCGGTGGCTGGGAGCAGCCACTGTACTCCACTCTGGGTGACAGAGTGATACTCCAACTCAAAAAATAAAAAAGAAACTTTCTGGCCAGATAACAGAAGACGCTCCTTGCTCTAGAAAGCTGGAGACAAGGAGCTGCTCTGGAGATCAACATGTCAGGGTTCGTGACCCGATTCTGTCTCTGAGCTGGGAAACCAGAGCTCCCTGAGTCTCACCAGTGCAATGGGTATAAGGAGCATGCTGGTTCTCTCCGCACAGAGCTCTGACCATGAGACGCTTGACAGTGTGCCATCAGTCCTGCTGCAAGCCAAGGGGCTGGCTCATTCTTTGGTTTGCAAGTGCTGGGCACTGTATCATGTGCTGTGGAAGTGGCCACAAAGGAGGAAGAGTGGTTGCCTGCGTGGAGTAATGGCTCCCTGGCCACAGACAATGTTACATATTCTATGTATACACCATACACATACATGCTGGGAATACAAAAAAAAAACAACCCAGAATTATCTTTTGGAGGGCTGGCCCTTTGTAGTGCAGGCTTTCCCAGCTAGCTAAGTGTTCTTGGATTCCAGCTAGCATTGTTGTGAGAGGCTGTGTTGTGGAAGAAATGTTGCGAGTTGTGGCAAACAGGTGACTGGTTCCTCCAATGCACCTGCCCACACTGCTCTGAGTATTCAGTTTTTCACCAGAAACGTCATGACCCCAGTGCCTCACCCTCTGTACTCACCTCATTTTGATCTGAGCGACTTTTTTGGTTTCCCTGGATGAAAAAAGAAGTCCTGAAGGAAATGTTCTGCCGATGTAAGAGGTAAAACAAAAAATGGCAGAAGCACTAAAAGGCATCAAAATGGACAAATTCAAAAACTGTCTGTCATGGTGTCTCAATAGGCATATTGCATCAGAGGATTTTGAAGGTGACTGAAGTAAAAACATGTAAGAATACATTACTTATTTTTGAGCCAGAGTCTCTATCACCCAGACTGGAGTGCAGTAGCACAATCACAGCCACCACAACCTCGACCTGCTGAGCTCAGGCAAACCTGCCTCAGCCTTCCAAATAGCCGGAACTACAGGCATGCACCACCACACCCAACTCGTTTTTTGTTCTATTGTAGAGACGAGGTCTCGCCTAGTGTCCCAGGCTGTTGAACCCCCAGGCTCAGGTAAGCCTCACACCTCTGCCTCTCAAAGTGGTGGGATTACAGGAGTGAGCCACCACGCCCAGCAGAATTTCTTATAAATTCTGGGTTTTTTGAGTCCCTCGTTTGTGTTGTGTGCAGTACCCATTAGGCAGTGACAAGCAATGTGAAGGAAAACACAAGAGAATAGCAAATAGCAGGGAAGATGACTTTAGAGAAGCCCCCAGGGGTGGCATTATTTGATCAGTTCCTGAATGAGACATGGGTGGGCACCATGCAAAGCTCTGGGGGGGTCTACGGTTGGTCATCCCAAAGGGAACAGCAAGGGCAGATAAGGTGAGTGACCCTCAAGTGATGCAGGAACTAGGAGGGTCATGTAGATGACTCAGATGAAAAGGGAAGAGATAAGGCCAAGGGGCAAGTAAGGAAGACCAGGTGGGCCTTGAGGAGCTTTGCTGTGTGAGGGAGGCACTGCAGGGTCCTGACAGGGGCAGCTCTTCAGTTTTCAGATTCTTCTCACTCCATCTGGAGGAAACAGGGCAATGATACAAGTAGAGGCCAATAGTCCAAGCTTGGACCAAGAAGGCAGCAGCAATGAATGTGGCAAGAGTTGCAGATATGCAATTAAGTTCACATTCTACAAAAAGTCATACCTCATTGCTGAGTATCAACTGTGGTCACCTCCAAAGTACTCCCCCTAGGTACCCATCAAAGCAACTTAGAACTCTTTTGAAATGCCATCAGAGCTGTTGTCCTATTACCTTTGATGTCCTGAAAACCAGTAAAATGTCTTCAAGGAATGCACAACCAGGATTTTAAGAGTCCCATCTCAGTGCTGTGAGCTGGAGCATTACCAAGATGCAAGAGCTCCCTCATGACCATTCTTTGGTTTCCTCCCGCCACGACTTTCCTATTTGGTCTGCTCAGTTAGGTGATTTTGACACACCTTGACAAATTTTTTGTTTTCGTCAGTTCTACCTGCTACTGGCCATCCTGAACTCTCACCAGAGATGCTTTTGTCCCCTCAAACACTGCCGGTTTCCTCATGGTCTCTCCCCCCATCTTTGCTCTAATATGTCCGACTTCACCTCCACTTTTGGCCAATTTAACAAGATGGCATCTTATGCACAGCTTTCCAAAGGGAGAACTTCAAAGGTGACGAGAGTGACATTCAGCTATGCAGTACTTTCGTGTCACAACAGAGGTTACGGAGCTCTACACTAATTTAAGCTTTTGAAATGCTCATCATTTCCCACAGGTCAGGAATGCAAGCAGCTAAATCTGCTGGGGCTGTAGTCATCAGGCCTCCACTAAAGAGAGCTGCTTACCAAACCAGGACTGGGAAATGGTTAGAAGCTGCCCTCAGCTCCTTGCGCTATGCTGTCCTAACAAGACAGCTTGCTTCAAGGGGAAGGAATGCACAACCAGGATTTGAGTCCCATCTTTCCAAGGTGAGATTCTATAACAGAATTATAAACTGAAAAATTATCCAGTGTAGGCCCAATACCAGTTAAACCTGAGACCAGAAAAGTTGTAGAGCAGATATCTAGGGGTGGTGTTTGTTAACTCTTCAATGATTATCTCCAATGACCAAACACAACAGTACAGATTTAAAAAATCTTATTTTAATTTTTCTCCAGATAGAAGTTTAATACATTAATTCTTCAAAGTTAGGACACAGTCCTTGAAACGCTTTAAACAAGCACCTTGTGCAACTGCTAGAACTGCTTTAACCTTCAGGGAAAACACACAGCCAGTCTTCTTACATTCCAGTTCCACATACGATGAAATTTCTAAGAAGGAAAGAGATTACCATCAGTGATCCACTCTGATCTGAAGAAATTTGTTAAGGATACAGAGGTAGGTAGAAAAGCCTTGGCTGCTCCAAGTCTGCCTGCTAGATGTACATTTAGTACCAGAGGAAGGGAGATGGGAGATTCCTCACTAAGCCCAGCTTGTAACCCCCGTTGTCAAGATGTTTACCCTATGTTTTGGGAAACACATGGGACAGAAGAGACAAATCCAGAATGAGAATGTTATCAGTAAGCCAAGTTTTTAAAAGGTGAGAAAGTATGTGCCTGTAGTCTCCCAGCTACTCAGGACGAGAGGTAAGAGCATCTATCCCATAAGTCTCAAGAGTTCCAAGCTGTGGCGGATTGACTGTGGCTCACATCTATAACTCTAGCCGTTTGGGAGAACTGCTTGAGGCCAGGAGTTGAAGACCAGCCTGGGCATCGGAGCAAGATGCCATCTCCAAAAAAAATTAGGTAGAGACATAATGTGTACAAATTACATCAGTGACCTACTAAGTATTTTAGGTGTAAGGGTCACTGCTACACAGTACAGAACAGCGTTACCTTTATATAAATATTAGCCTTTAAGGACAGAAAGCAACGTTGCTCAACTTCAAGTAGCAAAAACAATGCACATTTAGACACCCATAGAAATACTTCAAGAATGAGTTATCAGTGATATAACCACAACTTTCATGTTTGAGCTTTTTCCATTAAAAAAGCTAGAGGCTGGGCACATTGGCCCAGCCTGTAATCCCATCACTTTGGGAGGTAGGTGGATTGCCTGAGCCTATGGGTTTAAGACCCACCCCTGGGCAACTTGGTGAGACCTGTTTCTACAATAAAAACAAAACACTGTCCTCAAGGGATGGATGAAAACTGGTATTAGCTTGCTTATTTCATCAAGGACACTAGGTCAGTCAGGGATAACTGGTCCAAGTAGCCTCCCTGTATTGGGGAAGACTGAAGGTCAATGTATGGAAAGCATACAGCCAAGATCTGACTCATTTAGACCAATTTCACTTACACTTTCACTCATCTGCATGGCTGACCTACTGTAAATTCCAGCCATGTGACCAGGCGTGAAGTGCAGTGTCCCTAAAGGACACAGAAAACGGGATGGCATCACTTTAAACATTATATGTCAAAGCAAAATGGCTCCATTCAATGTTCATTGTTTTCTTCTAAGACCTATTACAGCGTGGTAATTTACCATTCTACAAAAAAGATGCCTGCACACAGCATGTTTATTGCAGCACTATTCACAATAGTAAAAACATGGAACCAACAGTGCTGCCCATTGAAAGTGGACTGGATAAAAAAAAATGGAGCACATAAACATGAAGGAGTATTACACAGCCATAAAGGACAAAATCATGGACTGTGCAGCAAAATGGATGGATTTAAAATCTTTCATAACACATGGCTCCTGACCTACAAGTTAACAGATGAGGCTAAAATAAGCTATCTGAATGCTGAAACCCAACATGAGTAAACCCAATTATCACTAGAAAACAGACTGTGATAGGGATAAGCAGAAAGCAAGGACAGAATCTCTGGGGCCAATGCATCAGACAAAACTGGCCAACAGTGTAGACAGAGATCAACAGAGCCGATCTGATGAGGAATGAATTATCAGCTGCAAAGGCCAAATTTGAGAAACCAAGGGGAACAATCCCGTATTGAAAAGTAAAGCAGATTGGGTGCAATGGTTCACATCTATAATCCCAGAACTTTGGGAAGTTGGAGTGAGAGGATTGCCTGAGCCCACAGGTTCGAGACCAGCCTGGGCAACTTGGCAAGAATTCATCTCTACATTAAACCAAAAAATTAGTTGGGTGGGGCGATGCGTGCCTGTAGGTCCAGCTACTTAGAAGGCTGTGGTAGAAGATCACCTGAGCCCAGCAAGTTGAGGCTGTAGTGGCCTTGAGAGTGCCACTGCACTCCAGCCTAGGTAACAAAGACTCCGACTCAAAAAAAAGTAAATCATTGACCACACGTCCACAGATTCTGTCTACTTAGCTGAGGAAGACACAGGACATCACTTACAATCCTTTCCCATATCTGGATTCATCTTGGTCCATCCAAAGCCTGGCTTCCACCAACAGCAAACCTGAGTTGAAAACACAGGAAGATGAGCTCCCATCAGCTAGATGCCCAAGAAGTGGGGGTAAAGGAGCTGTTCAAGCTGGCATATCAGACAAAAACTGGCTTAGAGAAGTTAGATCAACATGGTCGATCTGTTGGGGAAAAAAGTTCAGTCATCATGTATGCCAGTAGAAAGCTCTTAAGCCTGAGAAAACCTTAAGTGAGCAAGATTTGGTTGGTATGCTTCTGTATCTGCAAGCCCATTCAACACTTGAGCACTTGTACCATGTCCTGTTGTTGGCAATATAGCAACCAAGACAAACACCCCTGTGCCTTCAGAGCCTACAGCCTATTTTAGTACAGGCCATATGGTGAGAGTCTCATGTGGCTGAAGAATCGGAAAATCCTTGACATTTACTGAATCGAGAAGTGATCAGGAAGTTGCATGTTAACACAAGATGTTGTCACTCTTGAACACTAGCAACAAAGTTAGGTGGCTTTCCAAAATATGTCAACACATAATCCATCAACTTGGAAGTGTCCAAGAAATCACGTGCGAAAGAACAGAATCCAAAAATGTGCATCACAACTGCACATGGTGGCTCACACCTGTAATACTAGCACTTTGAGAGACTAGGCAGAAGGAATGCTTGAACCCAGATCAACAGCCTGGACTCCATGGCTGTAGTCCCAGTTACTCAGGAAGCTAAGGTGGGAGGATTGCCTAAGCTGAGGTAGTTAAGGCTAAAGTGATCTGTGAATGTACTTTGTCCTGGGCAAGAGACATGGACTCAAAAAAAAAAAAAAAAGTGCATTAAAAATAAAAACACCTTTCCCCAGGTTTATTCCACGTTGGACATTTCTCAGAAACCCGTTTCTTCACCAGAAAACTAGGTCTAATTATGTAAATTCTGAAAATTAAAATAAAGCAATTTAGACACTTTAAAAATACCTAGTGGCTAAATTTCCAAACATTCCAAATTTTCCTAGGAAATCAAGAGGCTCAATTCATTTTTTTCTACAATAAACCAAGAGGCTAACACTTACCTGGTCAGATCAAAAACCGCAGACGTCTGCATGTAGTTCTCTTGGAGGCCCAGGGGTGAGTTCTTCCTTCATCATCCATGTTGTTTGGCCAATGGCTAGGTCCTGGGCCTTGGCACCCAGTTATTGAACTATCGGTCTAATATTTGGTCTTATCCCATTGGATGAACTTAGCTATCTTGGAAGTCCCGTCTATAGATTTTTTGGGTCTAACTTGTCCCAATGGTTATGAATGCATTCGATGAGGGTATCCAGAGAGAGACTGTCTCCCATGGCATTCTGTAATGAGAGGGGATAAGGAAATTCTAGGGTTAAACTAATTCAAAGCATTCTCTGAACCAGAGTCATCTCCCACAGGATACTACTTGGCATACATCAAATTTGAGGGTTTGGGGAGGCAAGGTTTTAGTCACATTGATTATTAAATTAACTGGGCATCCAGAAATTCCAAATTGTTCCCATCTTTGGGTTTCAATCCAGTCCCTAATATTAAGAATTATGCAATCATTTAAAGTAAAGTTTTCTTATAAAACCATACGCATTATATACCCATTAAAATTAAAGTCACAGTAACAACTTTTCTTAGAGGCAATGGTGAATCAGACATGTTTGGATTATTTCCAGGGGAGGAAATAATCCCATGGACAGTCAGAATTAAGGTGGCCTTGACATAATTGCTTAACACAGCACAGATTTAATAGAGAATAAGGCAAATACTATGATCAATAATGAGTAAACTGCCTTATGTGAGGCTAGTTATTAATTTTCCTGAATTTGAACTTTAAAGGCTTACTTTGGGGAAGTTTCCCATTGATCCAATTCCTCTATTTTTACCAAAGTTTCCATGGTTGATTTCTTGACTCTAATATGGTGTGTCCTTTCTTTCTCAACAGTCTGTATGGCCATTTCTGTGGTCAGGGTCCCTCCCAGCTTGGTTGGAGCTTATTTTCTTTCCAGGTTTGGTCTGCACCCAGTCTTCAAGCTGGTAATGGTGAACTGCAAACTCAAGGAGTTTGAGCAAGAAGTCCTTTTAATCTAAGGGAAGACAGGATGGAAGAAATATCAAGTGCATACTCTTTGAAGAATTAGTATTGTTTGTCTCCATGGTTGACCGGTCTACCTAGGTACACCCATATAATCATCCATAGGGCAACAGGACTACGTTTTTTTCTGGGGGCTGTCCTAAGGAGAGCTACAGGGAGACATTTAATCCACGGTAATTTAGTTTCTAGCCTGAGTTTGGTTATGTGCATTTTTAGGGTTTGATTCAATTTCCTCCTGAGGATGGTGGGAGGGGAGGGATATGAAAATCCCACTGGATTTGAAGTCCTTTTGCAATTCCTTTGAGGTAAAATGACTTGTTACCTGCATCAACATTTTCAATTAAGCCAAAACTAGGGATTACCTTTTCTAGTACTTTTACTACTGACCCCACTGGTGTCAGTGTTACTGGGTAGGCTTCTATCTATCTGATAAGATGACCAACAATTACCAACATTCAAGTTTCCCAACCTTGGGCATTTCAGTAAAGCCAATTTGGATGCTTTAGAAGGGCCTTAATCACAGGAGTCTTCCTTTCATTTCCTGAAAAATTATATATGCTTCACCAATCTGTTTAGCAGTAGTGTAGATGCTTATATATCCAAAAGTTTTTAAGAGGGTGTCACACATGGCTTGAGATCCCCAATGGCTCCCTCAATGCAATTGTCATTAATTCCCTCATAATTGGTTTATTAACCATTACTCTCCTATCTGGAAGAAGCCATTTACCTTCTTTATTCAGAAAAGCTCCCAATCCTCTCATTTCTTATTCAGTAAACTGGTATTGCAGTGATTGAGGGTACATTAGGGGAAGGATGTAGGAGCTTAATTTCATTTTCTCAAGTGGACTCCTTGGTTATTCCACCAGCTAATTTATTACCAACAGCCTCAAAGGAATTCCCCTTCTGATAGCCATTAACACGTGTTACTGCTATTTCGTTGGGAAGCAGTATGTTTTCCAAGACTTCCTTAGTTTCCCGTGAACTAGTTACTTTACTATTTATAAGACTCCTTTCTGTCTAAATCTTTCCAAAAGCACAGGCCACTTCAAAAGCATATTTAGAATCCATATAAATTATACCTTACTTAAGTAGATTTAATGCCTGATTAAGGGCAAATAATTCACAAGTTTGTACAGACCATGAGTTAGGCAATCTTTCTTGTAGATAACTGATTTTCATCTGTAATTGCAAAACCATTCTGTCTTCAACTACTCTAGAAGACTTGTCTATGAATAATCTAATTCCTTCAGCGTGGCCATTTCCATTAGTCTGGCTTTAGTTTGATATTCTTTGATATCTAGGCAATTATGATTTAGTTCTTTGCGTTTTATTTCTGGCACTGAAGAAAGTTGCTGAATTAAGATAGGAATCTATAGTCTAGTTATCAGGTCCTCTCTAGTATTGCTTCAATTTTTAAGATTGAGAAATCAGTTAACCAGTACCGAAGCTCTGACTGTGCTGACCATGAGTTTCTCTAGAAGTTAACTTCCGACTTTCCTTCATTAGTAGAGCTGTGGAAGCAATAGTCTGGACACATTCTGGCCAGCCCCTAGATACAATGTCTAACAATTTAGATATAAAGGCTACCAGCTGCTTCTTCCTGCCCAGTTTTGGGTAAGTACCCCAATAGCTGCACATCGATATATTGTTACAAACAGATGGGAAGGTATTTCTAAGGATGGAAGAGCAAGGACAGGGGCCATAATTAAATCCTGTTTTTAATTTCTCAAAAACTTGATGTTTCCTCCACTAATTTTGATAATTGTTTAGTTTTGGTTACATGAATCAATTCCACAATCTACAATAACCTAGTAGGTCTAGGAATTTTCTTAACTCCTGTTTTGTTTTTAGTGTGGGATGGTTAACTAACTATTCCAGTCATTTTCTCAGGGTTAATTGTTTATCTTCACTAATTATATGCCCCAGGTACTTGACTTTTTTCTACATTGTAGCTTATTTTTTGAAGACTGTTAATCCTTGGTGTCCCAAGAAATTAAGCAAATTTATGGTGGTGTCTTTCTCCAAGATTAAGAGACCACCTACATTTGTAGGATTATCAGACAAGGGTAGAAACTTGTCTAATATCGTTTCTAAAATCTGGCTGAACAAGTTGGGAGAGTCATTAAAACCCTGTGGTAACAGTCCAGCGGTATTCTTGTTTTCTCCCAAAGGCAAAGAGGGCTCTCCTCTCCAGATGTAGGGGGCAGGCTCAAAAAGCACCTTTTAGGTTCACCACGCTTTATAAACCATCTATGTTCATAGGGGATTTTAGTAAGAGCAAAAGGATTTCGCAGGTCTGCACTATTTGATTTTTTGTTCACAGATCCTGTACTTATCAGTAGATTCTGTCAGGTCTCTTTACGTGAAGTATTAGAGTGTTATATAGCAACATACAGGGTTCCAATAACCCGTATCTTTGATAAGGCCCTCAATTATTGGAGACCTTTTCCCTTCTATTAGGATAGAATATTGTTTTCTACACATAACTTCAGTTGGTTGTTTTAAAAAAATTTTATTTGGGGGAACCTTTAGCTCCCCGTTTCCTTCCTGGACCCATACATTGGAATTAATCCTATTATCCTTTTCTGTGAAATATATGCCATTTGAATTTTAATTTGATCCTGTTCTACTCCCAAGGCGAGACCTAGTTAAACAGATTTATTCCTGCTTCTGGAACAAAGAATGAACCTTTTGTTCCAGCTTCAGTCCTAATGGATGTTGATTCAAGTATGGAAACCTGTAATTCCTTTCACTCCTAAAACTAAAAGCTGTTAAGAATTTAACATTTTTTGGTTGCAAGATTAGAGAAGCGTGGGCTACCCCCTGTATCAACTAAGACTGTATCTTCTTTAGATTCCACCTTTCAATTTATCAAGGGTTCCTGGTGGGGCCTAACAACGAGGAACCCGTCTTCCCCATTCTTCACTATTTCCTTTTTCTTCCATAAGGAACAAAACCGGTTCCCACATTTGCAACATTTCCTTTCTCCCTGAGGCCCTTCCCCCCTAGTTTGTCCTTTCTGGCTTACCATCTTTGTTTAGGGCAGACCCACACTTTTCTCTTTACCATGGTTACCATTAATTCTTGAGTTTCTGATAGACCTGTGTCTCCTGATTCCTGACCTCTGTTCCTCCCCAGGACTGAAAGGGGCAAGTTTACAGTAGGAGATCCCAGTGCCTTCCTCCTAAGACTTCCTTGGGTCTCCCTAAGACTCCCTCACCTCCCACTTGAAGTGGGAACATAGGGAGGGCTTTGGGAAGCCAAAAGAGGGCATAATCCCTCTCTCTTCTGGTGAAACCAAACATTTATTATTTACATATAGAACCAGTTTGAGAAAGCTAATCCTCATCAGAGCCGAATCGTGGCCAGAACACAGAGCCCTGGCAGATTGGTTCCTTGGCCCACATAAAACAGAAGTTAATCATTTTACTTTTCCTTAGGATGACTAAGTTAAGTCATCCTTCCAATGTCTTAGCATTTGCCCCAGTGGACTATCTGGGAGAAATTCAGGAGTATCCTGTAATTCCTCCCTTCCTAGACCTAGCATTTTCATTTTCCATTCCCAGGCAAATGATCTCATTCTTGAGTCTCTTAATATTGGAGATTCGTTGCGAGGTAGTACTCCCCCTTCAACCAGCTCCCTCGCAGGAAATTGGTACTCCACACTCGCTTTGTGCCTGGGATTCATCTCAGTCACACACACCCAACCTACAAGAACCTCCCGACCCCCAATGCAGTATTTATAGTCCCCAATTTTCCTACCTTGGCTCGTGCACGAGGAAACCGGGTGATGCCTGCCCTTTTGAGCGTCTCCTTCGCCGACTCCCAGCTAACAGTCTCAGGTCTGCCTGTCGGGCTGCGGAGACACCCGAACTGAGTGAGCCACCGAAAATCGGGTAGGGCTTATCTCCCCCTCCGACAGCGTCCGACCTCTCAGTCGCAGGAATCCCAGACAAGCCCCCAGTATTGTGGGAAATGCCCGCATCGCTCTACTAACTCTACACAGAAACTCAGAGCGCAGCGAAGTTTTAATAGCCATCTTGTAAGAACCGGTGTCTGGTAGCAGGAACACCCCATAGCGTTACCACAGGCTTATTTACGTCCTAGTGGGCAAGTCCCTCTCCTGGTTACCCATTGGCTGGATAACACCGAGGTTATCATCACCCCCAAAGGCCTCCTAGGCAATTCTCGTTCAAATAAGGCAAAGTAAATGTTCCTAGGTTTCCGATTGGACTTCAGTATTTACTAATGCAAGCCGCCATTTTTCAAATAAAGCCCGCCCTTTCTTGAACAAATCAAGTCCGCCAAAAAAAGCCCGCCCTCTTAAAGAAAGCCCACCAAAGGAAGTAGTACCAGGAAATGGAGTGGGAATCGCCATTTTGAAAATTAATCAGCATTTTGTCCTCTACACAAGGGATTCGGCGGGTTCAGGATCCGCCCAGCAGCAAAGGCAGAAATCCTCCACCAACTCCCGTGGGCCCAAAGCTGCCTAAATTCGAGGGACGGAAAATCAGAAACGTGAACTTAGAACGTCCCATACCAACCAGGCAGTCCACGCACTAACCTGCCTGACCTGCCCCTAGCCCCCTGCCCTGTCGTCACCGTCTTCCTGCGAACCATCAAAGAAAGGGCATCCACCGCCATCTTCCCACGCTCGGAAATGAGCCCTGAAATTAACAGAGCCGGGCCTTTGGAGGCTGGTGTATCAGCACAAACTGGCTAAATATTCTAAGACATCAACATTGTCGATCTGACGGGGAAAAAAGCGAAGTCATCATTTACACCAGCCACGGGCCCGAACCCCCACGCCGAAGGCGCGAGTTTTCCCAGCGCTAAGGGCACCTCTCCGGGACCGCAAGGCCTTCTCGAGGTCAGAGCTGGGGGAGCCACGAGGACCGGGAGAGGAGGTCCGGCCGGAAGACGACGGCACAAAAATCGAGGAGGATCAGAGTCCTTGAATACAATACGGAAGTTTCCACTCACCACACACAAAACGGAGAGCCCGGGAGTAGAACGATACAGAACGGACGGCGGCAACAACAGAGCAAGAAAGGGCGAGAGCCGGCGACCAGAAAGACAGAGAGGCCCGCGGACCTCCCTTATATACCGTGAGAAGGCTCTCGCGCCTGCGCACTGGGCCCGACGCGCTCCGTTTCCCGCCCGCACCGCGCGGGTTTCCCTGGGAAATGTAGACTCGGGGCCGCCCAGCCCGAGGCGCTCTA